ACAGGGTTAGGGGTAGGAGACGTTAATTTCCCACGCACGAGATTACTGTGTGATGGATGTCCTCCCCTGGGGTGGGATGGGTGGGATTTAATGGGTGGACTACTCGCATGGATCGCATATGTTCCGTTCTGATCCTGCCCTAATGAGGTAATGCAGTGAAATATGGTGAAAATACTGGGCTCTGTAAATTTGTGCAAAACATTTCGACGAATATCTTAAATTTGGGAAAACAAAGAGACCTATGATTAGGAGAAGTGCTTCCTTAACCTATCTCCTACAACATAGCAATTTCTGAATTAACCTTATCCACTGAATTTCTTTCCCTCAATGCGTAACAGTGAAAGTGATCAATAATAATTATGGCTGTTCAGAAGCGGAACCGGACATCAAACAAACACCGTTTATTCATGACACGGTAACGGTAAACTCACGGCAAACATAGTAAATACCAACGACCTCCAAACAAATTGCCACTTAAGAACTCAAAACTTTGAACTTCTAGATAGAAAAGTCGGCGTGATTTGCTAACGACGTTTTAGCTTACGTAATCTCTAAGCACGCGTGCGTGAGTCGCGCGCGCACAGCTTCGGTAACGTCTTCATAACAGTAGCAACGGCACTATTCTTTGCGGCTGGACCTTTTAGAATTTTGAAGTTACAACTACTTAAGGTTTAACAAGTAAGAGATGGATCTTCATACGAGAGGTGGTGTCACTTTCTGCGTAAACAGACATTTAGTCATTTCATTAACATTGGAGAATGATTTCGGAGAATGATTTATGATCCTTGAGTCAGCTGTTCAAATATGTACTCCTTTATCAGTTGTGAATGCTAATAACACGAAAATTCGACCGCTTAAAGAATTTTATGTGGTGAGAAGATAGAAATGTATTTCACCAAAACTTGACAAAGATCATTACCAATATACATTGTCTAACAAGATTCGTCTGACAAGGTCTGAGGTTCAATTCCTCATGGAGACTCAAAATCTTTTCTTTGTCCGACGCTCATGACTGGACGAAAAAAAAACATCTTTCTACATTTCTAAGATTCGTAACTTATCAAGAGTGGTATACTTTCAAATCTGCGTAAGAATTGTCCCAGATACTCTTTTTAAAGGTGAAATTTTCCGTTAAAAACGGTCGGCTGCATTTACTGACTCCAGTTAGAGTCTTCCTTGATTGCAATTGCAATCAGGGAGGATTCCAGCTTAAGTATCAATAGCTCTTATCGCATTTACGCCCACTGAACGAGAGCTCAGCGGACTTTCAAGTTTCCAAACGAGGCTATCGGGTCACACTTATAAAACTTTCAAGGAAAATCGAAGCAAACTTATTCGAAAAAAAAAAGAAAAAAAAACGCAAGGAACTACACTGTTATAATCTTGACCTGAAAACCGCAGACGAGATCTTTGTCAGTCGAAATCTTGGTCTGATGCATGCGGTTGTCCTTCGTAGGGCTGAAACATACTCGCAGCTTCCATTTCTTCGTTAATACTGGAGTACGATGTATCACAACTCTCTGTAGAGTCTGCTGAAAGTAGATATTCATCGCTATCGGACATTATTTCAAGAGTATTTCAACGCGGACTAGTACAAAATTGCACGAGATATCGTATCAACTGAGGGTATTCACAGGTTCAACGTCATCACCTGCTAATTCGTCACCAGTCTATTAGACACTTTTAAGACAAATTTAGAGCACTTTAGGGCCTGAAAAAACCGATAGCAAATTTTTTTTAACTAACTTCTATCAGAGTTAGTTTTAATTTGTGATGAACGAACTAAATACGCAACAGCACTTCTTTAAGCAGTTCTTAGAGGGTAGAGTTACTAATTGCCAAGAATAAACAGATTCAGCTAGT